TTGGGCCCTCATCTCAGCATGTTTAGGTCCTTATTTTGACCTATTTGAGCTTTGTCCATGCTTAGTACACGCATTTGTGCCATGTATTGCACGCCTCCTTTGTAGTCCTCTTTGATAGCTCCATGCTTTAAGGACCTTCACATGCTTTACTTGTGTTGTTTAAATGATTTGGCATCATTTCTCACCCCATTTCAGTGCACTTAGTGTTGTTACACGTCCACACTTTTCACTCTTTAGGTGTTCTTGAGAGTTGCACCTTTATACCTTAATTGGTGAGCCAATTGGCATGAATGCTTGTATGTGTTTTCGATGCCTTCATCTTAGCATTTTGGCCACTGATTTGGGCATATCTGAGGTCTGTCTATTTCGGTTTAAGTCCAATGAGCATGGTTGATTAGATGTTGTTTGCATGCTTGCATTACATCGAATTGCCTATGCCTTATACTTTGCATTGTGTATGCTTAGGTTACATTGCATTAAGCATGCCATCATTTGCATTGTGTATACTTAGTTGTTGAATGCATTAGCATTGTGCATGCCATTAGCCTTGTTAGGTTGTTCATATTGCATTACATGTTTGCATGCTTGAGTCGCATTGTGTATGCAATGCTTGTATTGCATTGTTGTTTGGATTAAGTCTTAAATCTGAGCACGAGAAACGAAGGACGTTTCATACTTCAAGTGATGAAACATGTCTTAATTCTCGGTCGTCAATGCTCTTGACGATGCATGATAGAGTTTTTGGCTTTATATGTTTATTTGTGCATTCATTTTACATTGAATTTGCACAAGTTGGATCTTTGGCCATCATGCATCCGGATGCGTAATTTATGGTCTAGGATCCGACTATGCCTCTCCCTTGATGTTTTGAGGTGATATGGGGTGGCATAGTGCGTACATACCCTTGGGAGACCCTCCATTTTCTCTATTTTGTACTCTGCTGCAGCTTGGTGTCATAGCACATCAGTGGTCGGCTGTGCCTTGCAGATGGCCGGCAGTCTTTTGTTCATTGCCGGCAGTGCCCACTCTTGGTCGGCAGGGGGGTCGGCAGTGGCTCCCTATGGCCAGCAGGCCACTGGTGTATTCCCCAGACTGGTTTTGGTAAGGTTTAGCAGGAATTCCTTGAGGACACCCTGTAGACAGAGCCTCTAAAGAGCAACCAGAGAGCTTTTTGGGGCGACAACCGAGCATGCATCCTCTTCTCCTCCAACCAGAGCTGGAACAACATTGTTTACTGTTTTCTTTACTTGCTAATTAGCATTTGGTTTTGTAATTTAATTAGTTAATTTGTTAATTAATTAAGTTTTGTAATAATTAGTTGTAGCTAGTTATTCATTCAGTTATGTAATAATTAATTAGCTTGTTAGTTAGTTAATTAGTTGGTCTGTATTATTCATTCGGACCCTCCGTCGAGAGGGCATATTGTTCTAATAAGTGTGCGTGCGTCTGTGCATGTCTTCCAGCCCCACGTCTTTTTCCCTTTCACTTACCTGCTTTTGATGGTTAGTTTAGGGTCATTTTCAGTTTGCATACTTATGCTCACATGTTTGCATCCATTCATTTGCATTGCATGCACCGGGCTCAGCGCATCATACTAACTGCGTTGTATTTCAATTCCAAGTTGAATACATGTATCAATTGTTGCACTTCATATGCCATCTTAGAATAGTCGAGCCTATCTAGCTGCATTTTTGCATGTGTTGCATTAGCCATCTTAACATGAACTAGGATCATGCATTGATTACTAACTAGTTCTTTGTTTTGGCTCGGAGTACACTGTGAGTGTTTACGCTTTAGCATACTGCATGTGTGTTATTGTTGCCATGAAAGCATGCTTCCCATGAGGCTATTTGCTTATCTGATAAACTCCCTGAATGCCTGTGGGTGAAGGTTGGATTACTTGAATTGAAACAATTCATCAAATCCTCATTTTAGCCTACTTGCGAGTAGCAAACTTTAAACCATTTTTAAACAACCATTTTTCAAAACAAACAAATATGCAATGTTTTGTTCCAACTTAGGCGATCTAGTCTATACTTGTATACTATGTGTGTCACATAGTAATTCTAGGTTTAATAACTGGAATAAGAACACATGTGTTTTCAAAAATAAGATATCATGTTAGTAGTGGCCAATCTTTGATCGGGCAAGTGGGGGTGCTCATTGCATGACCTTCTCCTCTCGTACCCAAGTTCCCGAGCCGAGGCAACTTTGGTGATGATGGACACGTGGCCTTAGGCATGAATCAGGGTTTCCTAAATTCCCCCAAAATAAAATATTTAGGTGGCGACTCTGTATCTGGCAAAGTAGTCTATGTTTGGCACTTCTTTACAAAAATCAGTTTTTCAAAACGATTTGTCAGATTTGGACTCTTTGGTGATTTATCAGTCTTGCATTGCATTTGGCGAGATTAGATTCAGAACCGTGACATTGAGTCTGAACTGTAGCAATAAGCTCAGAATGAAACGAGATTCGCGCCCTCTCGCGAGCGCGGATGTTGGAGAGTTCCCGGGAGCGCGTCTACAGTAGGCAACTTCATTCTGAAGTCTAGCCATAAACACTTCCAAATCAACTGTGTCCATGAGATTGTTCTGGTTTTGTCTTTTCTGCATCCAAAAGCTCAGTTGTGATCCTTACCCTAAGAGAAGAGCTCATTATAGTATAGTGCAGTGCAGTGCTATTCAAACAAGGGGCAACTTTTCATTCGTTGGATTCGGGGTTGTACATTTCAAGGATAGATTCCGAGTGTCTCCAATTGTGATCCTTATCGAAAATGGTTTTGAAAAGTTTTAATAAAAGTTGATTTTGTCCAAATTAATCTTTTTACAACTTAGACCATTTTTGGACCAAACGAAAAATTTTCAGTGCCCACAATCTTTAATTTCATTGATTTCAATGCAAAGTTCTCCAACTTGTGATACAAATCAAAGTTGATTTTTATTACATTCAAAAGGAAAACTTGAAAGTATAGATTAAAGCAATAAACTTGGGGCATTGATGAGTCAGATGTTCCCGCGTCCCCTCCCAGAGCTTGTGGAAGCTTCAGATGTTAAAGTAGGCCCGATTTGCGCCTCATCTTCAAGCCAAGCCACGCATTCGCCAGAAAGGGCATAACTGAAATTGGGAGTGGGAGCCATGAGTTCTCTTGTCCTCCATGTAGTGGGATATCGAGCTAGTTGTGAACCTCGATTAGAAATGGAGCTAGGTACTCTACCCCATCTTCTGGGCAAGTCTGGTCATGTCCGAACTGACGCCTTAGTCATAATGGAAAGTAGAAGACACAGTGTGTTAAACCAACCAACTGAATGCCAAGCTGTCGAGACATGCTATAGCTCATCTCGGGCAGACCAACCAACAATGTCAACAACAGATCTGTTGCACATCCAGTGGCACCACCATCCTTCGTTCAGGAAATCAACTAGCTATTGGCGAAAGAAATAGCCTCGTGCTGAGTATGCAGGGCAAGAGTCCACTACTTTCAACCTGTCCATGAGCCATACCTGGGAAGGGATGAAAAATAATAGAGATTAAAGAATATTGAGGTGTATGTGGAGAGAAAAAGTGAGAAAGGGTCTTTGAGAGAAATACAGAGCTTGAGGGCCGAGTGATGTGAGAAACAGATATGAGAAGGGTGGGGAAGCATTACCTGCAAAAATAGAGGGCTTCCTGCGAACTTGGTTGTCTCCAGGCGATGGAAAGTATCCAAGCCCATCAAAGTCTCGGCTAGTGTCAAGCCAATGCAGCTCTTGCCCTTTTTCAAGCCTTAGGCAACTTCAATCAAGTGAATGCTAGACCCTTCGAAAGTAGGGGCAAGAAGAAAATGAGCCAACATGCACAAGCAAAGGGCATGATGCCGAAAACCTTGCCAGAGACGGTCGCCGCGGTTGTCTGCGTCAGAAAATCGATAAATGAGGTTGGGAATATCCAACTCTCCGTTCTGAACCAAAGATCAAGCATCGTGTAAAGTGAGCCCACACATCCGTACTAACGCTTGGATGTGGCCAAAACGGGACTGGGGCAAGAGTTGCTTGTCACACCAGGATTCCATCAAAGCTTGAAATTCTTCGATTGTAGGGCATATCTCTTGGCCTCCAAAGCTAAAAACATGTGTAACCGGGTTGCAACATCTACCTGCGGCATGAAGGAACGGAAAACACAGTGGAGTACGACTTAGTGGGAATAGTGTATTTATCCCGAAACCCTGAAAATTTAGCTTTTCCAAGCCATCTAAATTCGCAATCCAATCGGAGAGTTTTTTGGTGAAGAATGGCTCCATTTGAAGCAAAAATAGAGCTGGAATGAAGAAACTACGAAGTCCCAACTTTTGTAGGGGATAAGGCACTTAATGGAAGACAGGTAGTAGCAATCTGGAGACTCCCTGCATCACTGGCCGACCGGCCACCTTTTGTAGCTGACAGGCCACTTTAGTGGCCCACAGTCACCACTAAGTGGCCGACAGCCCTTTTTTGTGCCCAGCAGAATTCCTTTGGTCTTTCTGTGTGTCATGAGTGCTAAGAACTTGTGTTTTGCTCTGTTCTAGATGCATTCTGCTGTCTTGTTTTAGTAATTTTGTTCAGTTGCTCGCAAATTGCTTCTGTTTGTCTATCGAGTTGTTGTATTATTTATCGAGTTGTATTTGTTTTGCTTATCGAGTTGTAGTTGTTTTGTTTATCGAGTTATTGCATTATCTGTTGAATTGTCTTATTTTGTTTGGTATGTTTTGGTCGGTTCCCTACCTGACTAAGCAATTGTCAAGACAATGTACAATATTCAATTTCCATCAATCCCATTTTTGTGTAAAATGATGCAATGCGATGCTCAGAATATAAAATGCAACACGTTTTTATCAAAAAGTTGTTTTCATTCCAATCATGGTTTCTTTTTACAAAGAGTACAAGTTTTTAAGAAAATAAAACTGCCTAAGGCTGTACAATGTGCTAACACTACTAGCAAAAAAAAAGAGAAGCAAAGCAAAAACACATGTATCAGCGCTGGCTAGCTCAAGCTCTAGAGGCGCTCTTCGTCCTCTTCCTCAGCAGAGCGAACTCTGCAGAGCTATCCCCATCCACTCCACTGTCTGAACCTGATGTAGAACCGGAACCAGAGTCGTCGTCATCCTCTGCATCAGAACCTAGCTCAGCCTTGTCTCCACTAGCAGAACTCGAGCCAGTATCATCATCTTCGCTCTCGGATGACTCGGTGTGCTGATCCCCGTCCTCCTCGGTCTCGGCCTCGCTGGTCTCATCATCGTCATCGCGCATAATAGGCTCCTGACGCCTCCCTCGGCCGCGTGCCGGAACCCCTCTCTCTCTCCCTGCTGTTGGAGAGGGCGCTGATGGTCCTGCTTCTGTCACCGCCGGTCCTATCGGTAGAGGTGTGACCTGAAAAGGCAGTTTTAATATATCAGCCATAGTATGTGTATCAGATGCAAGTATGGTGTACATAATGAGTATATACAGAAGTCAGATACGGTATGTGAATGCAATGTGTCAGATATGATCTATACATGTAATGTATCAGTGCAGTGTGGGAAAATGTTTAGTCGAGATGTCAGTTTCAGTATATCAGTAGAAATATGATAACCGAAACACAAGAAAATTGAAAAATTACCTAAATATCGTGGGAGCCGAGTATCGACACCCTCCTCAAGATCATGCCCTCGAATGAGGCCAACATCTCGAGTAACCCCTCGACGTACCCTGTGGAGGGCTGCAAACGCAAGTTGAAATGATTAGTGAATGAATGAATGTCTGAGTATATGAGCGAGAATGAAAAGATGAAAGTTGTAGTGCGTACTGAGGGTGAATTGGGTGTCCTGACATATCGGTGACCAAGCAACGGGGGCTCAATCGGAATCTTATAAGGCTCTCCTGAGTACTGCCAACTTGTCAGCTCAGTCAGAAGATCTGGCCATCCAACACTCTGCCTAGCAGGGTGTATTCCTCTAACACTACCCCTTCGTACTCGGGCCCTACTCGTCAAAGGGGCATCTGCTGCTCGGGGCCTACTCGATGAAGGGACATCAGCTTCCCTCCCTATGTAAGCACGAATACCTGTCAAAGGAGACATGAGGTACGTTTGAATGCAAGTTGTATTGTCCCCTTCCTCAAGGAAAAAGTCTACATCTCCATCCCGCATAAAGTCAATGATCTCCTGAGAGGAGAGACTCTCTATGGCTCATATGGAAGGCGGAGGTGGTAAGGGAGCCGACTGTAATGGCAAACCCAACGTCTGGCGCATGAAGCACTCACCTAGAAACTAGGCTCGGCCTACTGGTCCCTCAAGCACAAGCCGATAGCGAGAGGCACCCCAAGCACCGGTGAACTGAAATCTGACACCCTCTAGCATCGTCGCCCAGGGCTACCACGTGATCTGCAGACAACAAGTGCATAGATTGATTAGTTGCCATTAGAATTGTAAAATGAATTGGAGCTGAAAGCAGAAAGAACTGTGAGTTTTGAGTTACCTCTACAGCCCTCACTGTAATGAAATATTGGCAAAGGAATGAAAGGGTCTCCCGGGTCCTCGGCTGACACCTCCCGTTGTATCGATGAGAATGTGGCACCCCAAGAGGCATCTCGACCTCCGGCTTTGGGGCAAGCATCGGGAAATAGGCGTACACCCATAGTTGTAAAAAGCAAGAGGGCGATAGTGAGAATACAGATAAACACAGATAAGGCGGAAAGTAGAGTATGTGTGCAATGTCCAGAAAATACAGAATGTAGAGAATACATAACACAGCGAAAATGCAGAAAGCAAAGTATGTAGTACAATTTATAGAAAGTACAAATGCAGAGATTAGACTATGTGTGTGTAGTGTACAAAAAGTACAAAGTAGAAAGCATGGCAGAGAATGTAAAGTAGAAAAGTAAAGCATACCTCCCAGGCTCTCCAATAACCGCCGACTCTATTCCCTCCTGCGGGAGGTCGAGCTCATATAGCAGTACAGGGTAGCGAGACCGGTGCCACCCCAATCATAATGCCGAACCTGAGATAAGTCCACCAAGGTGCTCAAAAGATATAGACCGACTGTGTTCACCCTGTCGACGAACAAGGTAGTACCAAAGAGGAACATCAAGAGACCTCGGAAATACTGCTTAGTCTCCTCTACAGTCGCTGGGGCTGTCCCTCTGTAATGGTCTGCAAACCAGGTGTATCAGAACATCCCTGATCAGAAGATAGGTGGGTGTGCTCCTAGCAAACAGGTCCAGGTGGTCTCCCACTCACCCATATCGGTATCATATGGGATCGGATGGCCTTCTACCTCAATGCCCGTCAGCATGGAAAAATCGTACGGGGTCATTGTCATATCCCCGACGGTAGAGAAATGGAAAGAGTTGGTGGTATCCCACCATCTCTCTACCAGCGCACTCAAAAGGGTCCTGCTTGCCATGAGGTACGATAGCCCCATGCAGAACAATCCAAACCCCGTCTCATCAATGATCTGGCGGACACCGTCGGGGAGGTCCATGTACCACTCCCTCACTGAGGTGGACCCATATCCTCGAGTAAAATGGGAGTCTACCTGTGTTCAGAATGAGCAGAAGAAATACAGTGTGTGAATGTGTTCAGAATGAGCAGAAGAAATACAGTGTTTGGATGTGTTCAGTATGAGTAGAAGAAATACAGTGTGTACATGTGGTCAGAATGAGTAGATGAAATACAGTGTGCACATGTGTTCAGAATGAGCAGATGAAATACAGTGCAAAGATGCAAACTATGCAGGAAATGTAAAGTACCTCGTGAAAAATGTAAGAATACAGTGCATACCTCGGAGGCACCAAGAGACAAGTGAGACTCTGGCTCTCGCAGCAAGAGATCTGCTGGTGCACCTCGTACAAATCCGCTACAATGACGGACTGTACTGGGCAGTAGTGCATGCGCCTCGGGCCGGTACCTCTCCGGGTCGAAAGGTCAGACTCTAGGCAGAAATGGTATGTACTTGGGATCTCCTTCAATCCATGGTGAGCCCGCATTGTGAGGAACGTCGTCTGCCATCTAGAAAGAAAGAGAGAAAGTAGGCGAAAATAAGCAAAATAGGCAGAAAATGCCAAAAGTCAACAAAAGTCAACTCTCGGAGAGAGAAAATGGGAGAAAAAGTCAAAGCCTAGGAAAAGGCGTCAAACTCAAGACAAACTTGAGGAAAACAAACCTTAAGTGGCAAAAATGGAGAAAAAAGCTCCGAAAATAAATTTCAATCGGTTCAAAGTGGAGGAAATCAAGGGGTTTTAGCGAATCAACTTTGCGTAGGGCATTGGAAAACGCGTGTAAAGCATAGATCTAGGAGGAAAAAGTGTCTAGGGATGAAAAGGAAACAATTTCAGCACTGTGGGTGTGAGGAAATGTGACTTGGAAAGGTGTATTTAAAGATCTCCATGCAAAAAGACCAAAATGGCCCAGATTTACCACAATTGGACGACTGGCCGGTTTTTGTGGCCGACCGGCCACTTAAGTGGCCAACAACATCTTCAAGCGGCCAACAGGCTTCCAGTGTGCTCCTTGAGTGTTTTTACGCCGTTTTGTGTCCTTGGCTTTCGAGAAAGTGCAACAAAAGTTCACTTTTCAGCTCAAAGTGTCTCTGTAGAAGTTTTGAACCTTGTCCTCGATGCATGACTCATCGTCAGTAGGCATGAACAAGGTGTATCCTTTTGAAATATATTGTAACTCGTCCGAGAGGTAAATCGGAGTTTGCAACTGAATTGGTTCTATTAAGGCACGTTCTGTTTATCATTACATAGAATGCGCATTTCTTTATTCGGTGTTTTGCATCGAACGTGCTATTGATGTTGCATTGGATATGCATTATTATTAGTGTGCACAGAATGTGTATGTTGCATTGCATTACACATGTTCTCATGTTTGCAAAGAATATGCATGTCGCGTTGTACTGCATTGTACATGCCCTTACATATGCATAGAAAATGTTCATACCTGTTGCATTGAACATGCATTTGGTGTTGTATAAAGCATGCTCCATTTTTCGTTGCATAGAATATGCTTCTATTTTGTTCCTTGCATGATGTGCATGAAGCATGCCTCTAAGCATTGTGTCATGGTTATTTGTCTTGCATAGAACATGCATTCTTATTGTATTGTACCTGTCAAGTTTCTTTCTTTTGCAGGCACGATATTGTATGTACGGTACATTCAAAGCTGGTGCAACCAGACGATATTGTATGTACGATTCATTCAAAGGAACTCCAAGTAAGATCATTCCTCTCCTTTGAACCCTTTGTTGGTTAGAAACACTCGGGTACAGCCGGTGTTTACACCACTCCCTTTTTGGTTAGAAACACTCGGGTACTCCCGATGTTTACACCACTACCTTGCTTTGGTTAGAGACATCGGGACGTGTGCCTGATGTTTATACCACCCCCCTGGTTAGAAGCATTTGAAACGTGTTCCAATGCTTATACCTTGCTTTGGTTAGAAACATCGGGATGTGTGCCTGATGTTTATACCACCCTCCTAGTTAGAAGCGTTTGGAACGTGTTCCCACGCTTATACCTTGTTTTTTTTAGAAACATCGGGACGTGTGCCTGATGTTTATACCACCCCCCTGGTTCGAAGCATTTGGAACATGTTCTGACGCGTATACCTTGCTTTAGTTAGAAACATTGGAATGTGTTCCGACGCTTATACCTTGCTTTGGTTAGAAACATTGGGACGTGTGCCTAATGTTTTTACCACCCACCTGGTTAGAAGTGTTTGGAACGTGTTCTGACACTTGTACCTTGCTCTGGTTAGAAACATTGGGATGTGTGCCGGATGTTTGTACCACCCCCTGGTTAGAAGCGTTTGGAACGTGTTCCGACGCTTATACCTTGCTTTGATTAGAAACATTGGGACGTGTGCCTAATGTTTGTACCACCTTTCCGGTTAGAAGCATTTGGAACGTGCTTCGACGCTTATACCACTCTATTTTGGCTTGAAACATTGGGACGTGCTCTGATGTTTATACCACCCTGTGGTGTTTGCACCACTCTCTTTTCCCTCTCATGCGTGACGCATTAGGATACTTTGGTTAAATGCATCCGGATGGATTCCAATGCTTATACCGCTCTTTGTTTTGGCTACACAATATTTGGATGTGTTTCAATTGTTATCACCCTTCTCTGTGGTTCGTAACCGTAGGGTGTGTCCCTAGGTCCACACCATTTCTCTCCTCGCGTGTGCCAAGCGTCGGGATCTTGTTTAACGCCTCGAGTGCGCCCGGGGATTGTGTTGTTCTTTACCTTTCCTGCGTGAGGTGCAGTTAAGCTTGCATAATTTTCTTACATCATTTCTGCATGAAATGTGGTTCGGTTCATGTTTACTTGCTTATGTATGAGCTTGCTGTAGCGTTTCTTTACATAACATTTGCATCTAGATGTTTCATTACAGTCCTCATTGCCTGATCATAAGTTATGTTCTACATTGTGCATGTCATTTGCATCTTGCCCCAAAACTACGCTAGTTTGGTTCCTCGTAAAAGGGTACATAGGCAGCCTGCGGGCGCAACTGTTCTTTGTTTTGTTTGGTTGTTTGTCTGAGTCTTTGGCCTTATCAAAAATGGGTCGTCTCTAGGCTTTGACATTCACTCCCGTCATTTCATGACTTCTGAGTTCTGTCAAAGAGGGGCAACTATAGACACCCCATTTTTGACCGACCTCAAGACTTTGACGTCATCGTTTGTGCACTCGATGATTGTACTTGTTTGAGCGTCCGAAGTTCTCGACGAAACGCCTTATCTTTGGGCCTCTAAACCCTTTTTGTTTTGTGCTTGTTTTTTAGCCATACCTTGGTGCCTCTTGCTTGGAAGGGGTAGGGGTCTTGTCGGCCACTTTTTGTTCCTGTCGACGAGTTAAAGGGGCCGGTCGGCTACCTAAAGTGACCGACGGCCATTTGTTCCCTTTTCCAGATATTTGTTTGCCAATTGTGCCAGCTATTGTTCACTGAAGGCCATCTCTATGCACGTGTATGGAGGGATGAATACAAGCCTTTAGCTTGAATTTCTATATATAGGGGATGCTTTCCCCCATTTGGAGGGGTTAGAAACTTTGGATCAAAATTCACCCTCTCTCTCTCTCTCTCTCTCTCTCTCTCTCTCTCTCTCTCTTTTCTTGTTTTGAGCTTGATAGTTGATTTTCTCTACACCT